TGGAAATAAGTGTATATACTTACTGTCAATATGTAAACCAACCAACTTCTGAATCTACAAGCCCTTTCGCTCTTGAGCCCCTTGGATTGAGGGTGGAGAGCCCTCCTGCTCGCTCCAACCCTCCTTCCAGGGAGGCTAGGTTTGCTCTCTCCTGAGACAGCCCTGCCTAAGCACGGGTCCCAAAGAGCTTCCCTGAGCCCTGTCCAGCCCTGTTGGGTCAGCTGGAGCAGATGGGAGCCAGTGTCTCTGGCCTGCTTCCCGTTGCTCTCAGGAAACCATGGCTTCTCCTGCATGCTGTGGGAGGAAATGCCAGTGCTCGGCCTTGGTCCCTGGGCCAGCTTTGGCCCTAAGACAGTAGGGAAGTGAAAGTGCCCAGCCCTGCAGCAGTAACCCTGCATCGGGTCATCTCAATGCACTTAACCTTTTTGGCCTTCAAGTTTCTCTTATCTACAGTTCTGGGAGGAATGGGGGAATACTTTCCTATTCTTCTCCCTCCCTGGGAGGACAATGTTTAGGAAAAAAATAAGAACAATTGAGATTTTCCTGTGCCTCTATTCACTGATGCATCTGTGTCTCGAATACAAACTCCTGGGTGACCAGGTCGCAAGATCCGAGGTTAGCCAACTGACCTGTAAGGCCCTACACAGAGGCTTTTCTCACAAAGGGATGAGGTAATAACAAGAAATTTGATCCATTCCAGCAAATCCAGCATACTACGACCATTTTAATTTTAAACTTAATTTATGAATGGGTAATATGTTTACATATATTTACATAGTTCAATGTGTTATAAATATAAAAAGGCATACAGTGGAAAGGGTGTCTCTTACTCTTGAACCTCACCCTCACTTCCTAGGAAGCAAACAACGTGACCATTTTATAATGTATCCTTCCGGAGATATTCTATATAAAAAATACCTCTATAAAGAATACCTAGTTCTTTCTCCCCAGCCTTTTACTTTTTTTTTTTCAAAAGAGGGATCCTTTGGGGTACATAAAGAACATCCTCACTTTTGTGTTTTTGTTTTTATTCTTTTTAAAAATTAAAGTAGCGTTGGGCAGCCCAGGTGGCTCAGCGGTTTAGTGCCGCCTTCGGCCCAGGGCGTGATCCTGGAGTCCCGGGATTGAGTCCCGCGTCGGGCTCCCTGCGTGGAGCCTGCTTCTCCCTCCCCCTGTGTCTGTGCCTCTCTCTCTCTCTCTCTCTCTCTCTCTCTCTCTGTCTGTCTCTAATGAATAAATTAATAAAATCTTTTTTAAAAAATAAAAATAAAGTAGGGTCGACACAATGCTACATCAGTTTTAGGTGTGCAACATGGTGATTCAGCCAGTCTATATGTTATGCTGTGCTCACCACAAGTGTAGCTGCCATCTGTCACCACACGCTATTACAGTATCATTGACTATATTCCCTGTGCTGTACCTCTTATCCCCACGACTTATTCTGTCCTCATTTGTTTTTACGGCCCCGCTCTATGATGTACCAAAAGGCACTTATCGAGTTTCCTATTAGTCTATTAGTAAACGTTTAGGTTGTTTTCAATGCCTCCCAGGGCTTGCAATGAAAGGGCTTGTAGATAAGCACTCAGTCCTTGAAACTCCCGCTGCTCCTTACACATATTCCTGAGGAATTCTTAAGCTGGGGTTTAGGATCCCTTTGGAGTCAGCAGACATAGAATTCAGGGAGATAAACTCCAGAATCCTGGAAAACTAGAAGGAAAAATATTTTCCATCTTTATGTACCCAAACCTCTAACTGAAGCTGAGCATTTCCCTCCACTGTGAGTAGAGGCAACAAACTGATAGTACTTGTTAGCAATATCTGGGACTCTCTCACATGGTTGATGGTATTTTGAAATATTGGGACACCTGGGTGGTTCAGTGGTTGAGCATCTGCCTTTAGCTCAAGGTGTGATCCCGGGATCCTGGGATCCAATGCCGCATGGGGCTCCCTGCAGGGAGCCTGCTTCTCCCCTGCCTGTGTCTCTGCCTCTCTCTGTGTCTCTCATGAATTAAAAAAGAAATATCAAAAAGAAAGTGAGAATGGAAAAAAATAAAAATAAAAAAGAAATATCATTTGCACTCATTCATAATTTGCCATTGTAGTAGGAAAGGAAAACGTTTCTCTACTCACAATCCTTCTGACACGAAACCTGTGCGCTTTCCCCCTCACATCAACCAGTTATCCAGCACTCCGTACATCAGTGTGGTGTTCCGTAATTTTATTCCATTTTGATACTAACTACCTGGAGTTAGTGTGAGACTCCCCAGGTTTAAGGGCTCAGTTCCACAAGACTGCCCTCATTTCAGGTGCTGTTACGGTCATGGGTCACCAGGGTGCCTATGCTTCCGTCTCACTTGCCTACAAAGTGGGAGGTTCCCAAGGTTGGAGGCTCCTCAGGTTGGATAATTTGCTAGATAAAACTTGGAAATAACCCAAAAAGAATTGGCTGACAAAACTTGGAAATACTTACACTTATCAGTTTATTACAAAGGATATCATAAAGGTGCAGTTTTAAAGGCACAGAAGGGAGGGGTCTGGAAGTGCGTCGAGCTCAGGAGCTTCTGTCCCTGTGGAGGTGGGGTGTGCCACCCTCCAAGCATGTGGATGCATTCCCAACCTCTGAACCCTAGAGTTTATGGATTTCTATGGAGATTTCATCACACGGTCATGATTGATTATTAACTCAATCTCCAGTCCCTCTCCCTTCTGTGGAGGATGGAGGATGGGACTGAAATTTCCCAGCTTCTAATCATGGGTTGGTCTTTCTGGTGACCAGCCCCCATCCTGATCCATCCAGGAGCCCATCCACAGTCCCCTCCTTAGATCAAAGATGCTCCTTTCACCCTGGAAATTCCAAGGGACGTAGGAGCCCTGCGAAAGACGCTCCCATCACCTCTACTACTCAGGAAATTACAAGGTTTTTCCTGTCAGGAATAGGAGCAGAGGCCAAACCTATATATTTCTCATGACATCACTGAAAGTTAGTAGATTTTCCATTAGATCTGGTTAGGCTATGCACTAATAAAGAAACGTATCGCTGTGTCACACATTTGGCTTTCAAAAAAATGTTTTGGTATCTGTATTTCAGCCTCATCTCTTTGTCGTAATCTCATGCATTTTTTTATTGTGGCAAATATACATAATTCATAAACATATATATATATTTATATATATAATATAAAATTGACCGCTTTATCCGCTTTAAGTGTGCAGTTCAGTAGTGGGCGGTGATCAGCACCGTCCATCTCCGGGGCTCTCTCATCTTCCCTCACTGGGACTCTGATGCCGTGAAAAGAGTAACCCCCACGACTCTGCTCCCCTCCTGTGGCTCAGGACTCCCCGCTTAGGAGTTTGGGGGCTCTGGACGCCCCAGACAGGCGAAGTCCGACAATGTCTGCCCTTTTGTGTCCGGCCTGTCTCCCTTACCACGTCGCCAATGTTCATCCTGATGTGCCGTGCGCCGTAACTTCGTGCGTCTTTTTTTTTAAAATTTTATTTATTTATTTATGACAGTCAAGAGAGAGAGAGAGAGAGAGAGAGAGACAGAGACACAGGCAGGGGGAGAAGCAGGCTCCATGCACCGGGAGCCCGACGTGGGATTCGATCCCGGGTCTCCAGGATCGCGCCCTGGGCCAAAGGCAGGCGCTAAACCGCTGCGCCACCCCGGGATCCCAACTTCGTGCGTCTTTAAGGCTGGATAACACCGCGTCCAGGGTCAGCACATTTCGCTCACCAGGCCACCTGTCGCGGCTCGGTTCCGGGCTGCAGCCGGCTGGGGCCGAGGCGCCCGCGGCGACTCTCCGTCCCGTCTGGAGGACCGTGCGTCCACTTCCACGCGTGTAACGATGATCCCGGGGGCGCGGCGAGCGGCCCGTAGGCGCCCCTCCTGCGCACGCGGGCGCGGCCCCGGGAAGGGCTCCCCGCGCGGGTCCCGCCCCCGCCCCCGCCCCCGCAGCCGCTGCCCGGGCGCTCCTGGGTCGTGGCGCCCCCGCCCTACGACGACTGACCGCGGCCCGGTCGCCAGAGCGCGGCGCAGCCCCCAGCCCCGGAGCCGCCCGCCCTAGGGCGCAGCCGTGTCGGGGCGGGTCTCGGGGCGCCGCGCACACCCCTCCCGCGGGCGCAGGCGGGGCGGGTCCCCCGGGCACGTCCTCCCCGTGGGCGCAGGCGGGGGCGGGTCCCCCGGGCACGTCCTCCCGCGGGCGCACCTGGCGGCGGGTCCTCCGGGCACGTCCTCCCGCGGGGGCAGGCGGGGCGGGTCCCCCGGGCACGTCCTCCCGCGGGCGCACCTGGCGGCGGGTCCCCCGGGCACGTCCTCCCGCGGGCGCAGGCGGGGCGGGTCCCCCGGGCACGTCCTCCCGCGGGCGCACCTGGCGGCGGGTCCCCCGGGCACGTCCTCCCGCGGGCGCAGGCGGGGCGGGTCCCCCGGGCACGTCCTCCCGTGGGCGCAGGCGGGGCGGGTCCCCGGGCACGTCCTCCCGCGGGCGCAGGCGGGGCGGGTCCCCCGGGCACGTCCTCCCGCGGGCGCAGGCGGGGCGGGTCCCCCGGGCACGTCCTCCCGTGGGCGCAGGCGGGGCGGGTCCCCCGGGCACGTCCTCCCGCGGGCGCACCTGGCGGCGGGTCCCCCGGGCACGTCCTCCCGCGGGCGCACCTGGCGGCGGGTCCCCCGGGCACGTCCTCCCGCGGGCGCACCTGGCGGGGCGGGTCCCCCGGGCACGTCCTCCCGCGGGCGCACCTGGCGGCGGGTCCCCCGGGCACGTCCTCCCGCGGGCGCACCTGGCGGCGGGTCCTCCGGGCACGTCCTCCCGCGGGCGCACCTGGCGGCGGGTCCTCCGGGCCTGCGGGCGGCGCTCGTCGGGCCCGGGCCGGGGCGGGGCTGCAGCCGGGCCCCTCTCGGCGGCGCACGGCGGTCCGGGCGGTCCGTGCGGTCCGTGCGGTCCGGGCGGGCGCGGGGCGGGGACGCGGCGGCGGCGGCGGCGGCGGCGGCTCCGAGTCGGCGGGGCCGGAGCGCGCAGGCCGGTCCCGGCGGCGGGGCGGGGCGGGGCGGGGCGGGGGCGCCATGTGGTTCACGTACGTGCTGAGCTGGCTGTCGCTCTTCGTCCAGGTGGCCTTCATCACGCTGGCCGTCGGTGAGCGCGCGACCCGGGGCGGGGGCCGGCACCTGGCGGGCGGGGGGTCGCACCGGGGGGCGCCGGAGCCGCCGAGGGCCTCCCGCGGGTGCCCCGCCCGCCGCGCGCCGCCAGCCGCCGCCGGGTCCCTGCCCTCCCTCCCGGCCACCGCGCGCTCAGGTCCCCGCGGAGCCCCGCGCTCCTCCGCTCCACCGGGGGTCCCCGCCCCCCGCCCCCCGCCCCGGGGCCAGGGAGGGCCGCGCCCGCCGCGCCCCTGCCCCGCTCCCAGCCGCCCCCGCCCCTCCCCGGGGCCGGGGAGCGGAGAGCGCCGGTCCCGTCGCTGCCCTGACCCAGCTCCGCTCCCCAGGCGGGGGGACGCCACGTGGGGCGAGCGGGTCGCGGCCGGGGAGGGCGGTCACGGGGCGGGGGGGCGCGCCGCAGGGGGAGGGCGGCCCCCAGCGCCTCCCGCTCGCCTCTCCCCACCCTCAGCGGCCGGACTCTACTACCTGGCGGAGCTGATAGAGGAGTACACGGTGGCCACGAGCAGGATCATAAAGTACATGATCTGGGTAAGCGGCGGCCCCAGGGCCCCCCAGGACCCCCAGGGCCCCCCAGGACCCCCACGGCCCCCACGGCCCCGTAGTCGCCTGCCTCGGGCGAGGCGGAGGGGAGACCTGCGGCCCCGCCGCGGCTTCCCCAGGGGCAGGGCTGCCCAGACCCGGCCTCGCTCCTTAGGCTGCTCCTTAGGCTGCTGTGCACCTGCTGAGCGCTGAGCCCGCGCTCGGGTTGGCGGGACCGTGGCTTGGCCTTTGCGCTGTGGTCCACGGCCTCTGGCCCTCGCTCCACGCCGAGCATTTACGGAACCGAGGACGGTCCTGAGTAGCTGGGTGAGAGTGCTCGCTGCCCCGGCGCCTCCTCCCCTGGCCTCGGCTCATGGGGGGCTTCTGTTCCTGAAGGCGCAGCCCTTGTCCCCGATGTCGGAGCTGCTAGATCCCTGCAGCTGCAGGGAGAGGGGGCGATGAGACCATCTGGATGGGAGAAGTCCAGTGCCTCTCAGGTCCCTGGTGTCAGCAGCCACTGGGCACGGCTCGGGGTACAGGCGTATAGTGGCGGCCAGACCAGAGCTCTCAGCTCCGGTTCAGAGGCCTGGCCTGCGGGTTTCGCTAGAGCAGTTAGATCTTCCTTCTGCCGACTGCCGTTGGTTAAGCGCCGACAGCTCTCAGTCCTTCAGAACAGTGTTTGTTCAAGGTACAGGTGTCCTTACTGGGTTGTGCCACCAGCGCAGTGGGTCATGATGAGCGTTCTCAAAAAAACAAAACAAAACAAAACAAAACAAAACAAAAAAACCAGAATAGAAAAGAGTAGAATTGAAATTTGAGCTTGGGTCTGTAAAATGCCTCGTGGGTTGCTGTCAAAAGTTTCTGAGCGTTGAAAGACGTTGCTTGCCCTGTGGGAGTGGAGAGACAAGCTGGGGAGGTGAGATCTGGTGACTGTGAAACCCGGAGAGACTGAGGCATGACCCCACTGTTGCCCAGAGTGGGCTGGGGTGTAGTGAGACCGAGAAGGCCGCCCTGGAAGAGGCTCCCTGTACCGTACCTCTGGTTGTGTCAGTTCTCCACAGCTGTGCTGATTGGCCTCTACGTTTTTGAGCACTTCCCCACCTTCATGATTGGCGTGGGCCTCTTCACCAACCTCGTCTACTTTGGCCTCCTCCAGACCTTCCCTTTCATCATGCTGACTTCGCCTAACTTCATCCTTTCGTGTGGTGAGAGGGGGCACACGTGGGGAGGCAGCTGGAGTGCGTGCGTGTGCCCAGCTAGTCCGGGGCACTGTGGGGATACACAGAAAAGAGGCAAACCAGTAAGGTCCTCCAGGAGGCCAGGCTGATTGGAAATACGGCGCTCTCACACTTGAGGGGCCCAGAGTCTACCTTGGCTCCGGTGACTGGTATTTGGGGCGACGGGGTGGTGGGGTTGGAATACCCAGACAGGGAGGGCTTTCCCAGGGAGGTGAGTTTGAGAAGGGAGAAAAGGTGGGAGTTCAGACCCCTTCTGCATCTTACCAGGGGGTGCACCCTCGCCACCCCACCCCACAGTAGCAGGCCCTCCTGGCTTCCCTTTGTCATCCCCCAGCCTAGTCTTTAAATGCCTAAGAGAGTTTTCCTGAAGATCTGTGGGCATCTTCCAGTTTCCCCTAGTGCTAGGAAGGAGAAACAAGACGTGGCATCGGGCTGGGAGGGGGATGTGCGGCTGCTTTGTTGTGGTGCCTGCCCCTCACGTCACTGTGGGAATAGGCAGGGATGCCCGAGTCTGAGCAGCCCAGCCCCAGGATCTGCAAGTTGTCTCTCTCCTCCATAAATGTGGCTGCGCTGTAAGGAGGTGGGCGTCAGTCCAGAGACACCAGTTCAGACTGGTGAGGAGCCCTACCCTGGGGCAGCATGAGGAAGGACCTTCTCCCCCAGAATTTGGAGGAATCCTAAAACTGCGCCCCAAAGCCTCTAGCAAACTGCGCCTTTTCATTCCTGAGGAGTGGGAGCCTCTTTATTTGAGGCCCTCTCCCAGCTGCCCCGTGCAGAGTGGACTCTCTTGGGAGTACGTCATCTGCACACCCATGACTTCTGTACCCACTGCCCGTGGGAGGGCACCCTCAGGACTCACATCCACTTAAAAGTAGGTTAATTGTCACAATCCTTTGGGTTACATAACAAGGCTCATTGTGATACCACTCAGGGTTTTCTTACCTGCCTTCTAATTTTGCTCACAAATGCCTTCTGCGGAGGGCAGGGAGGAGCCAATCCTCCATTTTCACAGATGGAGAACTGAATTCTGGAGGGTAGTGTACACGGCTCGTAGCCATACTGTCAGCTGGGTGTGAAATCAGGACCAAGACTCGGGGCTCCCAACTCCCAGGGGCCTCCTGAAGGTTAAAAGTCCAGCTTTATGTCATTCCCCCCCAAAACTGACTGACTCTTCATTCCCTCAACAGGGCTAGTGGTGGTGAATCATTACCTAGCATTTCAGTTTTTTGCAGAGGAATATTATCCTTTCTCAGAGGTAAGAAGCGTTCGGTATGTCAAACTCAGCAAGGACGGAGGAAGTCCAGGGGATTCGCATGATTTGCTTTGTGAGCTTAGCTGGGATCTGAAATAGTCTATTCAGGAGTAGCACATTTAGAGAAGATAGAGGAGTTTAGAAAGCAGCGTGGGTAAGGAGCAGAGGTCTCCTTGTCCGCGGTGGGGAGGACACTGCCCTCCCCCAGGGAGTCCTTCGGCTGTCCCAGGACCGCAGCCTAACACCCTGAGGTCAGGAGAGGGCACTGGGGTGGCCTCGTCTGACGCAGACCTCACGGGGCTGGGCAGGTTGCAGCCCTGAAGCCCCAGCTCCTCCCAGCAGCCTGCCAAGCCTTTTTCCTCTCAGGGGCTCTCCACACCCTGCTGCTCCAGGTCGCCCCGCCCCGGGAAGAACAAGGTCACTTTTGGGAGGAATATGGGTCGGTCCTAGTTTTGCCCTCCATCAACTTCCTGTAGTTCAGATGAGTTCTTGTCCTAGTGAACGGGATTTGGGGATGGTGCTCACACTGGGTCACCCTCAGTCTCCACCTTTCCCCACTGAGCAGTCTCCATGTCTGAGGTTGCCCTGTCTCTGCTTCCGGGGGCCTGGGCTCCTTCAGAGATGAGGTGTGGGGCCGTCTGTGCATCCTCCACCACGTCTGTAAGCTGCAGGACCACCACGTGGGGCCCACCCTCAGCACCTCCGGGGCACTCTCTTCTCAGTGTCTCTTGTTGCCAGGTCCTGGCCTATTTCACTTTCTGTCTGTGGATCATCCCGTTTGCGTTCTTTGTGTCACTGTCGGCTGGGGAAAACGTCCTGCCCTCCACCATGCAGCCAGGAGGTGAGAAGGCATGGTCGGGGTCCCAGGTGGGGCGACATCGGCAAGGCCTGGGCCCTATGAGGGACACGCCTGGGCTCCGGGTGGGTGAGCCGTGTTCACAGCCAGACGCGCATGCTCATCTCCCTGCCTGTGTCTCCACAGATGACGTGGTCTCCAATTACTTCACCAAAGGCAAGCGGGGCAAACGCTTAGGGATCCTGGTTGTCTTCTCCTTCATCAAAGAGGCTATTCTTCCCAGTCGTCAGAAGATATACTGAACCCCTTGGGGAGGGCATGTGGAGCCCCACAGGAGAGTCGGGCCCTGGGCCTGTGCGCTGGGCGGGGCCGTGAGCCTGGAAGGCACCTGCCCCCAGCCCCGGCCCTTGCTCCCTCGACTCTCCCTGAAGCCCTCGTCCCCGCCTTCCTCGAAGGGCTCAGCTTGGCTCAGATCTGACGCTGCTAGAGGCTGTGACCCCACAGGCCCCCGGGAGGATGCCAGAGCCTGCCTGGCCAGGAGGCCGGGGTCCACCTGGTTATGTGGAAGCTGAGCTCCCTAGGGCCCTCCTGCCCACCTCCGCGGTGGGCCGGGAGGTTGTGGCCCAGCCGGGGCAGGCAGGGCAGGGGCCGTGAAGCTGGAGAGCAGACAGGGCTGTTTCCTGGGCAGACGGCCGTGGGGAGGGGCCGTGGCTTGGCACTTCCAAGAGAAAGAGTTTTCGCTGTTGAACTGTGATTTCTGTCCTAGTGCTGACTGCCATTGAATAAAGATTCTAGGTGGCACTGTTTGCCTTAATACCTGAGAGTTCATCTCCCTGTCTTCCCGTTGACCTTCTGCCCTGGACTAGACTGTCTCTTCGGCTCCAGGGGCTCCTGTTCTGGGTTTGGGTCTTGCCCTCCCGGAGGGACCACTCTCACGGCCCTTCATGGGGAGCGGACAGAGCTCAAGGGCTGAGCCGCGTCAGGGGAGTTAGGGGCGGGGGCAGCCTTTCTTGTGCCCTTCCCTTTCCTTCCATCTTTTCTTTCCCCAAGGCTCCCTGGCGGTGACACCGGGGGCAGAGAGGTACAGCTTGGGACTGGGTTGGCTTTTCAGAGCATCTGCTGTGGCCTATTTGTAAGCCCTCCCCTGGGGAAAAGGAGTGCTTTCTGGCTGAATTCTGTCTTGGGCCCGAGGAGAAACAAAACAGAAATCGGCTTCCAGGCAGCCTGGGTTACAGCCTCATCGAGGGGAGAAAGGGTTCGTCCTTCGTCCCTCTGAGCACACACAGGGCTGGCCCTACCTTCTGTGTGCTCTTGGCTCCTGGGGAGCTGCCCTCGGGCCAGATTCTGGCACAGACCAGCACTTGCTGACTTTGCACCCCAACTACAGTGCCTTGCAAGTACCCAGCAGTACACACTGGGGCGAAGCCCCCGTGAGAGCCGGTCCTAGCCACGTCCTGCACCTCCGAGTGGGGCTGGCAGGGGCGCAGATGGCCAGTGCGCGTGGGGTGTGGGGTGCATTTAGGCTGGGGGAGGCCCCTGTGCTTGAAATTCTCTATATTCCTGCCCCAAGTCCCACCACAGCCCTTCATCTCCTTGACTGGCGCGTTTCCTGTTCTCTTAAAAATACCAGCCTTTCCCTTTCCCTGAGAGGAGTAGCTCGTTGTGGTTTTTTTCTTGGTGGGAATGAGATGGCCAGGCCTCCTTATCCCGTGTCGACAGGGGAAGACAAGGTAGAGGACGCCGGAGGCCGACGTCCTCCTCACTGCTGGGTCAGCAGCTGGCTCTGCTCTCCCTTGCTGTCTACTTTGTTCCTCACCCCGAAGCTAGGTCTTCTTTCCTAGGGGTTGCCAGGGGCCTCCTCGTGCTAAATCCAGCGGACCCTTTCCTATCTGCTGCTGGACCTTTGCAGCATCTAACAGGGCTCATCACCCCCAGCTTCCGGAATTGTGCTTTCCTGGCGCTCCTGTGGCTGGCCTTCCTCCTACCTCTGCTCTTCCCTTCAGTTTCCTGTGAAGCAGGCTTCCCCATTTGCCCCATGCACAGTGGGGTTTCTCAGGGTTCTGCTGTGGGCTCCCTGGAGGAGCCCATCCATGCTGATGGCTTCAGGGACTCACTCTTTGCAGCGGAATTGAGTTCACCTCCAGCCCCAGCATCCCTCCTGATCTTCTGAACCATAGCTCTGCTGCCTTTGGATGCACAGACAGCTCCCATGGCCCAGAGGACACTTGTCGCTGTCCTCTGCAAACCTGCCTCTTTTGGGTACCTGCCGTGGCCCCAAGACCCTTTGGGAGCCAGACCAGAAACCTGCTTTCTAGCCCTGCTTTCTCTTTCTGCCCCTCCCCCGGCCATCCGATCTCTCAAAACCCTTAAGTTTACCTTCCTAACATCTCTTGATTCAAGCCACACCCACTAGTCATCAATTTACACCTGGATTATCGTGACAGCCTCCTTCTCCTCTGTTCCACAGCCAGACTTGTCTAAAATGTATAGTTGATCAAGTCGCTTCCTGGCCTACAACCTTCCATGGCTCCCTACTGCCCGCAGGATAAAGTCCAGACCCCTTAGCATGGCTTGCGAGACTTGTGATGTCTGGTTCCCGCTCGCCTCTCTGGCCTCATCACTTGCCACCTTGCACCCCGTGTCCCAGCCTCCTGTATTCCACGATGCCACTTTGATTCCCCTTTCTTCCGCTCACCTCGGGACCTTCTCTGTCACTTCTCTACTTAAAGTTTCACTTCCTCTGAGCTCTGTCCCCTCTCCCTGCAGCACACCACACAGATCGCTCTAGGCTTACTTCCCTGCTTCCTGGTCTATCTCCCCACTAGACTGTAAGCTCCTTGAGGGCAGGGACTGTCCTTCAGTTTTTGTATCAACAATGCCTGGCTTGGTGCCTGGTACATAGAAAGCACTCAATAAATGTTTGTTTAATGAATGATGCGTAGTGGTGCGTGCCGGGGAAAGCAGGGGATCCAGGGTAGCTTCCTGGAGGAAGTGCAAGTGCTTTTTTAGTCTCAGATTGGAGCCACAGGTCCTCCCTCCCTGCCCCCGAGGTGTGCTGCTTGTGCCTCCCTCAACGACAGAAACCTCAAAGGACTTAATCTGAACAAGAGGCAGAATTTTCCAGGGGTCCCTCATCCTGGAAGGCTTGTGCCCGGTGGGCTGGGGGGGGAGGAGAGGTGGTGGGGACACCAAAGTGTCACTTTTACAATGCTCGGGCCCAGGATAGAGACTGATGCCCACTGTCAGGCCTCTACCCTAACTTAAACCTGGGGAGCCCAATAAATGTCTTTGTGGAGAAGGGAGACCTGGGATCTAGGCTTTTGTTAAGAGAGAAGGGGCTCTGATCTTGGAGCTTGGGAGTGAGAAGTGGAAAGCCTGTGAGAACTTCTCTCCCGCTCGTCCACTCACAACACGAATCACCACACCTCAGCCGTCTTTGGGCTGCCCCAGGTTGAGAGCCTACCAAAGTAAGTTTATGGGGGGCTCTTGAGGGAGGGCAGAGTGGGGAGCCCTTGATGGGCTCGCACAGCTGCCAGGAAGGCTTCATCAAATGTCTCGCGCAGGTTCATGGCCAGAGTGTCGGTCCAGAAGTTGTCACCCAAGTGCCGCTTCTGGGGCACGTCCCTCACGCTGACGGAGTGAAAGCCCTGGGGCGCTCTCATCCTGTGCGGCCGCGCTGAAGGGTACAGCTCGTGCACCATCACCTCGAAGGGCAGCTGGGGCACAGGTGCCACCCGGCTGCCGGCCACCGTGCACAGTTGTGCCCCACCGTGCCCATCGGGCCTCACCTCGAGGAAGCTGCGGAAGTCGTGATCCGGGCTGGGGTCTGGGTGCACGCCCAGGCGGATGCCCTGTGGGTAGCCAGTCTGGGCGGCGGGTGATCTGGCTGGGTTGTTGCTCACATTCCACGACTTGGGCCGCCTGACCGTGGGCTTCGTGTACGTGGGTGTGGGTGTCCCCACGGGCTGCAGCTGCAGCACTGGTGTCTGCCGCAGGCGTGCCTCCGGGGAGGGGTAGAAGCTCTTGGGGGGCCCCTTGTGCTTGGGGGTCTTGGACACGGTGATCGCCTGGGGTGGGGCACCAGGCGCTGGCTTGGCTTTGCGGGTCAGGGACTGGCCTCGGAGCAGCTGCTTGCAACGGAGCCACTCCTTGAAATCGGCTTCTCTCAGAATTTGGTGCTCTTTCTGCAACATCAGAGGGTACAAGACAGGGGCGGCTGCCCCTCCTCCCTGCTCCTGTGGAAGGGGGCTCTGTGGCTGTAGCCCTTGGAAACCTCAGGTGTCGCAGGCCAGATACAGTCTCGCCCCTGAAGGCCCCAGTCCGATGAGAGAAAACTCCCGCCTTATGGGAGCCGTCATTCTGACAGGGAGATAACTGTTGCCTGAAGGGAGCCCTTGGGCTGATGCGGCAGATAGAACCTCTCCCATCGGGGAGACCTCCAACCTGATACGACCTCCACCCTATGGAAAACCTCAAGTCTCATGGGGAAGACAAGCCTCCACCCCAAAGAAGTCCCCGTTCGGATAGTGGAGATCTGCCCTTCCCTGAGAGAATCTCTGGTTTGATGGGGGAGGAGAGACAAATCCTTGACTCTGGAAGAAGCAAGCAGAAAGGTTTGAAAGGCCTGGAACCAGAGGAGGCCAGTCTGGGTAGGCTTCTGGAAGTGGGGCACCATGTATGTTCAGGGATACAGCTGGCCGACTCTCGGCTGGGTGGTCGTGACTCCATCTACCTGTTTTGCCTCCACTAGAATTGAACCTTCAGCTTGTCACAGAACTGCCCCTTTTCCACCCCCTTGTTTCAGTGCCTCGCTCCCCAGACTGTCGCTAAGCCATCAGGTGGTATGGAGATTGACCCAGCTCGGGAGGTAGGCTCTGATTAGGCTAAGCCCATCATAATACTTCCATCAGCCTTGCCCCAGACCCAGGTCAGTCAGTACGTGGCTTTTTTAGCTCTAGGGATTGGAACAAGAATGGACATACGATCCAATTGAGGCCAATAAGAGATAAGGGGAGATCTGCAAGGGGCTTCTGGGAAAGTTCAGAGCCACGGGAATGGATGAGCTTTGCCTCCTCTGGATGCAAGGGACTCTGAGGACTGGGTGACATAATACAGGAGGGTGGGGCTGAGAAAACTGGAGAGAAACACAGCTGGAACCAAGCTGGAGTACTGGATTTTGCCAGCCCTGAAGCCCTCCCCACTTCTGGATCCACGTAGGATTCCCAGCATCTTTTCTCTGGGGTTTCTGGCTCTTGCATCCTATAGAAGTATACCTGCTTAAAATCCTTTAGGCACGCCCCCATACATCCCCAGCACAGGTCCATCAGAGGTGTGAGCCCCTGCCAAATCTGTCCATCTCCAATCTCCAACTCACGTCTATTCCCCTAGCTGTACTGACTTTGTCCTCTGCAGATACCACGCCCTCGTGCACTTCGATGCCTCCACAGGGCTGTCTGGTCCTTGTGCCTGGTCAGCCGTTCCCTTCTTCATATGGCCCTTCCTCCTCTGTGGGAATATAACCAATCTCCCATTCTAGACCCTAAGCTCCTTGAGTGAGGGGACTACATCTCATTTGTCTCTGGAGCCTCAGGGTCCAGCAGGTGCCTAGCAGACCGTAAGTGCTCTGTTTCTGTTGGAAAGGATGGATTTTTTTAAAAGACTTTATTTTTAAGTAATCTCTACATCCAACATGGGGCTTGAACTCCCAACCTTGATCCAGAGTCACCTGCTCCACTGATTGAGCCAGCCAAATGCCCCAAAGGTTGGATCTGTTTAACCAGTGTGAGTCCCAATGTAGGGAGGTCATGGGTCTCACCAGCGATTTTCCTCCTAATCCAGAAGGAGGCAACGCACTAGGAGGGGTGCCATAGTTCTTGCTTACTTAAGCTGCTTTTGCTTTCTAATACAAAACAAGGTTTTTGACCTAAAGGAGTGGCTTTTAAGGGTGGAGTTTCAGAAGATGGAGAGAAGGAGGCTTTTTCTGGATGGGACTGCTACCAGCCACTCTTCTATCTGCACATGAGTCATGGCCTCTGGTGCTCAGCTGCTTGGATAGCAGTGGCTGCCCAGTGCCCCTTCCCAGCCCCCCCCCCTTACCTGATATTCAGTCAGGTAGTCCTGTTCCATGAAGATCAGCTGGTCCTTGAGCCTCTTCAGTTTCTTCGTCTCACAAGCAAAGTCCTTTTTGTCCCGTCTCCACATCGCATCCTTCAAGAACCTGGTGCCAGGGTGGGGGTATGTCATCCCCCAGTGACAACCTGGGCTAGGAAGACTGGCTGCTGCTGAGAGCCTGGATGAGGGTGGGAGGAGCCACCAGAGACACCATTTCCCATTTTGCAAGGCCCCTCTAACTACTATCCTGTGAGCTGAGAAAGGAACGTGTCTGACAGTGGGATCACCACCACCCTGCTGGGGATCCAAGGCCTCGGGGCAAGGTACGGCAGGGCTAAACCCAAAGGAGTGAGGCCCTGGGGAAAGCCTTGGGAATAATATCCTGGGCAGGGGTCTCCTCCGCACACTTATTGCCCAGCCCAGCCCAGCCCCTCCTGGTAGAGGCTCAGCCTTAGGTGAGGGCCCCAGGGGAAGGGCTAAGAAGAGGGAAGGGGTGGCAGGCTGTGGGTGGTTCTCACACCCTCACCGGGCACAGTCACGGTGGTTCCATATTTTGCAGTAGTCGATGGGCTTGCAGCCCGTGGCATCTCGGGCATGGACATCGGCACCATTTTGCACCAGCACCTTCACACAGCTCAGCAGGCCTCGGAAGGCTGCCATGTGGAGGGGAGTAGAGCCATTGCATGTCTGACTGTAGAGGGCCACACCAGCCGGGAAGAGGAAAGGAAGGACAAAGGCCATGTGCCTATCAAAGAGGTGGGCAAACCGGCTTCCAGGCCTGCTCTGCCACCGGCCCACTGGGTGACGCATGTCCCGTCTCTCTGAGCTTCAATCTCCTCAACTGTAGGACGGTCTGGACTAAATGAATGGTGGAAGCCTGGTTATATGGATACGCAACAGTTCAGATCTGCCGGGTTGGCTAGAGCTCAGAGGGCACTAAACCTTACTCTTGCTCTCCTGCCCCCCCCCCCCCCCCCGCCGCCTGGCCATGTGTGAGCCATGGCTCACAAAGCCTGTGTGACCTGGGCCCTGCTGCATCCTCCTCACCCTCATCTTCTGACCTTGCCCCACTCTTTCCCAATGTATGATCTTAGCATGTGTTGTTCCCTCTGCCTGGGACTCTTTTCCCTGGTTTCTTGCATGGCTGGCTTGCTCGGTTTTCAGACTGCAATTTAAATGTCCCTTCCTTAGAGGAGACTTCCCCTTCCAAAATAGATCCTCTACCCTATCACTTTTACTCATCACCTCATTACCCTGTTATTTCCTGTGTCACTGCTTACTACGGTGTCATTTTGTTCAGTTATTAGTTTGCTACTTCACTGTCTGCTCCTGCACCAGGATATCAGCTTCATGAGGGCAGGGTCCTCAACTCAGGCTTGGCGCTGAGCACATAGGGCAAGTGCAGTCTCCCCTATGCCATCTGTGCACTTTCCATGCGTTTCCTCAGTTATCACAATAGTCTCATGTCATCTTCCCACATTTCAGTTGAAGACCCTCAGGAAAGAGTACCCAAACTTTGCTGCAAATTAGAAACACCTTAGGGATCTTTTAGGCCTTCCAAAGCTGAGACCGCACCCCCGTACCAATTTCAACCTTTGATTGGATCACAGGCACTGGTACTTCGGTATTTCTGAAGCTCTACAGGGACTCCAGTGTACTGAGGCTAAGGGTTAAGTGACTTGCCCAAGGTCTTGCTATTTGCTAGCCGATGCAAAGCTGGGATGTGAACGATGTCTGTCCTCTCCTCATCTCCTTACTGCACCACGTGGGCTCGCTGTGTTATGTGGGGCCCAGTCCTTGTCACCCCACAGCCCTCTGCCTGTCCTGGAAGTGGGGTCCCTATCTGCCTAGGCTCCAAAACACTTTTTGGACACAGGCTGGACTCACGTGTTGAGGGCCGCCCCTTGCTTAAGCAGATAGTGAATGCAGGGGAGGGTCATGGTCTTGTTGTCCCCGTGGATGACCAGGTGCAGGGGTGTCTGGCCATTGTTGGTGGGCAGGTCCACAGGAAAATTGTACTCCTCTACCAAGACCTGCAGGCACGCAAGCTTGCCACTCTGGGCTGCAAAGTGGATGGCAGTGAAGCCCTGTGGGGGCCAGAGGAGGGGAGGAGGAGACTGAGCAGGATTGGGGGCCCCCCGGGGTCCACAACCAAACCTACAGAGCAATTTCTTAGGGTTCCTGTCCCTCTTTCCTGTACCCCAAGAATCGCCCACCCTCCTTTCCCACTCTCACATGTGCTCACCCTTGCTGGCTGCCCCTCAGTGGCCCTCCTACAGGAGCAAGGCAAATTAGGACTATCTAAAGGAGAAAGGCTATCTATGGATGCCACACAGGCACACCTTGGCCAGGGAACCACTACGTGAGGAACTTTCTGTGGATGCAGAGGACTTCAGTGCTTGCCCCCAAGCACCTAAGCCTTGCCTTGTCATCGGCTGGAATTTCCTCACGGTCCCGACTCAGACAGAAGTGCAACCATTCCAGGTTGCCCAGTGCGGCGGCAAACAACTCATAGCAGCCCCCAATGGCACTCTGGTCCCACGCGTCGTTGGGGCGAGTGAGGGCGCAGGAGTGGAGGGTGGGGAGTGGGGAGGCAGGCCGGCAAGCAGCGTCGGGGTCTGGGCGCCCCGCCCTGCAAAGGGGCTTGCGTGAGGGTGAGGGCTGGCATGGAGCCCCAGGGCGGCTCTGGGGGCCAGGTCAGGGCTCCCTGGTCCGCAGGGCAATGAGGGAGCCAGGCACCCGGGCACCCAGCCCAGTTCTCCGGGCTCCTCGCACGCCCAAGGGCCCCCACCCGCTCCAGGGAGGCCCCGCAGCCCGGCCACCTCATCCCGGCCCACCTGGGCTGCTTGGACGCTGAGTCACTCAGGGGGACTCTGGAGGCGACCTTCTCCGCTGCCTGCATGGCCACGCTTGTGCGTGTGTGTGTGTGTGTGTGTGTGGGGGGGGGCTGCTCCCCACCCTCCCCACGCCCCGCCCCTGCCCCGCCCTTGCCCGGGGGAACTCAGTAGGCAGGGCGGCTCCTCGGGCCTGGGCCTGCGCTGCTACCTGGGGGAGTAACCAACTGCCCCTTGTGGGGGGGGGAGGGGGGAGGGGGAGGAAGGGAGGAGGGGGAGGAGGGGCGGGGGGACGGGGAGGGCGGAGGGGGAGGAGGGAGGAGGGGGAGGGAGGAGGGGGAGGAGGGGTAGGGGGAGGACGGGGAGGGCGGGGAGGGAGGAGGGAGGAGGGGGAGAGAGGGAGGGATGAGGGGCAAGGGGGGGAGGGGGGAGGGGCGGGGTGCGCGGCTCCAGCCGCAGGGGCCTCCTGCACAGCCTCCGCCGCGCACACACACCAGAAGACGCTTAGGTTTTGTTTCTGATTATAAAATTAGTAAGTGCTGATTGTAGAAACAGAGAAAAGGACGGTGAGGAAATTCTTAAAATCGCAGCCCCACCACCCCCAGCCGTCATGGTCTATGACGATATGCGCGTGTCGTGCAGACTCTTCTTGTACTTCGCTTCCGTCTAGCGTTTCATCGTGAACTAGCAGCCGTTGTCATGGCGCACCCGAGACTACATTATGACGCCACCATGGGCCAACATCCTAATGGATGTGCCATCATTTCACTTGTGCGGCAGAAAACAAAATGATTCATCTTGGCCATTTTCTTGGGATGGATTTCCTGGAAGTAGAATTACTAGGTGAAAGGAAATGAACATTTTTAAAGTTGTTAGTGTTTGCAAGCTGCCCATCAACAAGGTTTTATATTCCTTTACACTTCTGCCTGCACTGAAGCAGCAGGTACCCTGCACATCAACCACGTAACTTTGGGTGACTTGTTGGACCTCTATGTCTTAGTTTCTGCGTCAGCAAAATGGGAGTAATACTACCTACTTCACAAGGAGGGAGGGGGTTCAAGCAGTGAGACAGAGTCAGCCATCTATGAATTTGCTGTTATTAAAAAAGGAACTACTTGGAGCATTACCACCAGCCCGAAAACCTGATTTTTTAAAACATTTGCTAATTTGGTAGTGGAAATGTTCTAATTTGAGGACTACCAAAAGTCAAACAATTATCGGTGTTTTTCTCTTCTGGAAATCATCTGTTTCTTCACATTGTTCTCTGAGGATTTAAAGAGTATTTCTTATTGGATTTGTAAGACTTATTAACACAGTAACCCTTTATATATTTGTTGTTGGTGTTTTCCTCAGTTCCCCTTTTAAGTTTTTACAGTATATAGTAGTCAAGCAATCAATGTTGAGTGTCACTGGACTATCCACGTTCCATCCCTTCTTAGGGATCCGAAGCTCATGAGAGGTTTACTGAGGCCCCAGGGGTCAACTCTAGCTATACCAGACTACACCCCCCACTTCTAACTACCTTCTCCCCTCTTTGTCCCATCAGTCCTGGTATTTCCCCCAGAGAAATCCAAGAAGGAGAGAGGAGGATCTCCCAAGACCATAGTGACCTACAGGGAGGGACAAAAATGCAGATTGCTCACCTGAAGCAGCTCTCCCTCATTCCAGGGAAACTTCCTCTGGTAGCCCAGTCGCCTCCCAACCCCAGGGGTCTGAGGAGTCTGCACCCCTCCTGAGCATTCCTAGCAAATTCTACTGGGCATCTGCCCCAGGTGAAACCTTAACACCTGGCTCCAAATTAAGATACAGTGACAATGCTTTGCAGGCACAAAGCTTGAGGATTTCCTGGCAGTTGGGAGATTCTGTGGGCTGTTGCTTCTGAGGTTATTAGGATCCTAAGAATGGCAACAAAATCCTACGTATATGTGGGGTTGGAGAGTGTGTCCCGGGACCTCTTCAAGCTCTCCCTCACTATCTTTACCTGGGTTACCCTGCAGTCTCTATACTAGTGGTTCCAACTCTGGCCGCACCTGGAGGAAAAAACACCAATGCGCAGACAGATTCAGGTTAACTGCTCTGGTTTGGGGCCTGGGCCTCGGGAAGCTCTCTAGGTGGTTCCCTGCGCGCGCGCAATCAGGGGCTTGTTCTCTCCCTCCGGGCGGGGAGTGCAGGGAGAGGGCTGGGCCCGGGCTGGGGCGCGGCTAGAGCGCGGTGTCGGACGAGGGGGCCTGCTGCGGCGCCTCGCGGGAGTAGAAGTCCTCGAGCACGCTCTGCGGGATGCGCTTCAGCATCTCCTTGGGGAAGATGCGCAGCAGCTTCCAGCCCAGGTCCAAGGACTCGAACACGGAGCGGTTCTCGTAGGGGCCTAGGGAGGAGCGGGGTCAGGGCCGTGCTACCCCCACCCCCGGCCCAGGGCGCCCCCAGCCGCCTCACCCTGGTTGATGAAGCTCCTCTCGAACTTGTGCAGAAACTCCAGGTAGAGCAGGTCCTCGGAGGTGAGCGCCTCCTCCCCCACCACGGCCTTCATGGCCTGCACGTCCTTCCCGATGGCGTAGCAGGCGTACTGGGGAGGGGGGGGCCGGGGCGAGTATGGTTTATACTTTCCAACAAATGTGATTTTTGCAATCTCCTTTCCTCCCTTCCTCCCTAGTGGTGAGACGAGACCACCTTGGTTTTGTGTCCTGCTTTGGTACCATGTTGGAATCTACCACTTTCTCCCAGAACTGCCGCCTGGTTTGGTTGTCAGAGCCGAGTCTTTCCTTATTGAGTGACTTGAGGGAATGTGGTGGAATTTTTTTTTTGGTGGGGGGGGGCGCAGCACTTCACATTTATTGAGGGCCTGCCCCCAAGGAGCTCACAGCCTGGGGGCCAAGAACCCACATGTGCTGGGGTGGAGGAAAAAAAGAGGTAAAGGCAAAGAGGCAGGCAATGCAGAGACACCATGGCCCAAGCAAAGGGGTTGCAAAGCAGGCACAGGCACGGGGTGGGGGATGAGGAGCAGGGGGGAATGGCGGCCCTGCAAGTCCTGCCTAGACCTCAGGATCACGGACCAAGCACAGGACTCAAGGCTGCCCCTCCCCAACCAGGTTGGTACCACCTGGGTGGGGGTGGCACTGGGGTGCCCCAGCTCCTACACCTGCCCTGAGCCAGGCCCCCACAGCGTCAGCCTTCTCCACCCCAGACTGGACCATGCAGACCCCTGACAGGAAAAGGGCAGGCAGCTCAGGTTTGGGGACCCTGACCAAGACAGCAAGGTGGAGTCCAGGCCTGTAAGGGAACAGCTTGAAGCCTGGGCAGTCCTAGGTCCCTGGGCAAGGCCCAAGGAACTTCCGAGATTCTCATGGAAGCCCCTGGGCCAGGGGCGCGAGCCCGGCGAGCCCAGGTGGGCTGAGGCCACCCCGGAAAGCTCCGGCCTCCTCTGAAGCCAGCGTACCCCATGCTGTGTCCCCCTTACCAGCTGGTTGGAGACGTCTCCGTGGTCCTTCCTGGTCATGCCCTCCCCGATGGCCGACTTCATTAGCCGCGACAGGGAAGGGAGCACGTTGACCGGAGGGTAGATCTGGGGGAGCAGAAGGCGGTCCAGACTTCCCTTCCCTTCCCTTCCTACCCCTGCTTGTGTCTCCTGTCCCTGGGCCCCTGGGCTTCTCGAGGGCCCGCCCCTCGCTCCTCCCGCACAGCTGGGCAGGTCATGCCCTGCGCCCCTGTCACCACAGATTCTAGGGCTTAGGTGTTCACTGTCGGCTCGTGTGCTCCTGGACAGGAGGTGGACGGTGGACATGACCTGACTTAGGTAATGAAAGTCAGTATTTCAAGACCTTTGATAATTTGGACAAAAACCAGGTGGAAGCTTAATAGCTGCAAAGAAGGAAACTACTAAGCAAAGAGGGAAAAGTCACAGGGGTTGCCTTCGACCTTGGCCGGGGACACATTGTCTAAGCAGCTGGCACGTTATTCACCATCTGCTTGTGTCACTTACTCCTTGTTTTGTTCACCAAAGCAAATCACTGGGAAGGAACGACAAGTGGTATTTACTGAGTATCTACTATGTGCGGGATGCTTTCCATATGCCAACTGACTTGATCCTCCACAGTGCACTCCACCGAGTGATAAATGCCATTATTTCCATTTTATAGAGGAGGAATCCTAGCATCAGAGGGATGAGATGCCCCAGTCTGGTAGGCTGGATTCTTGTGTCTGTGAACCACAGTCTCCCTGGGTCAACTCCTCTTTGGAGTCAGCCTTGCCTGGCCCCTCCTAATTCACAGAGAAACGAAGCGCAGCTGGTGGTGCGACACCTGTTAGTGTCCCCGGAGGTGGTGAGGACAGCACTGAGTGGGTCAGGAGGGGACCGTACTTGTCTGTTATGAAGCTGCCTGTCCACGTAGATCTGTCCCTCTGTGATGAAGCCCGTCAGGTCTGGGATTGGGTGGGTGATATCTGCAAGGAAACGCACCAGTCTCTGTAGATGGGGCCCACGTCTCCAGCCACCCAGGTCGAGTGGGTTCTCTTCCTCTCATGGGAGTGACGGGGTATGTGGAGGCAATGAAAAGACAGTGCACATCTTGAGGAAGGAACAGAGCTACTGCGCATCTATGCAAAAAACCACGGGCCTTTGAAGCATCCCAGTGGGAAGGGAGGGCAGGGGCTGCAGTAGAGACTCACCATCATTGGGCATGGTGAGGATGGGGATCTGGGTGATGGACCCTCCGCGGCCCTCCACGCGGCCTGCCCGCTCATAGATGGTGGCCAGGTCTGTGTACATGTATCCCGGGAAGCCTCGGCGCCCAGGCACCTCCTCCCTTGCAGCTGAGACCTGCAATATCAGCGTTGCTGGGTAAGAAGGGGGGCAAGAGGCTGAGTGGGAGGTTCAGCAACTGTGAGAAATGCAGTGGGGGCACGCTTGGATGGGCAAGTTTCGCGGTGTAGGGACCAGGGAGAGGCAGGCACGGCCCTGACACCCTGCACCAGCCTTACCTCCCGCAAAGCCTCTGCATAGGAGCTCATGTCGGTCAGTATGACCAGCACGTGCTTCTCACACTGGTAGGCGAGGAATTCAGCAGTGGTCAGTGCCAGGCGTGGGGTGATGATCCGCTCGATCCTGGAGGTACAGCCAGTGTTTAGAGAGCCCGGAGGCCTAGGCCTGTGTGCCATCGAGCCGCAAGTGCTGAGTGGAAATCTCACAGTGCACAGCAGCAGAGGAGTGGGTAGGAAGGATGAGCCCCATCTCCCAGGCACCTAGTCAGGGCTCTGCTTCCTGGGGGTGGACAGTTCACCAAATCTGGCATTCCTCCCTTCCACCGTCCACGGGAGGAAAGGGTAGGGAGCCTGGGACAGGCAGGGAGTTGGGTGAGAGTAGGACAAGCAGGGCCCAGAGTGTGGAGAGGATGACAGCACCCTGTCCCAGGGGGGCCTGAAGGTGAGGGGCTCTGGCCTTCAGCGCCAGGCAGGGGCAGGGCTCCGGCTGTAGCTGTCTCTTCCCCAGGCTCCCTCCCGGCCTGGCTCAGCTGGAGCACTGTCTGGATTCTCTCTGTGAGGCTCCTCTCATACTCCAGAGCCACTTAGTGTGAGAGTCTCTCTGCTTGCTCTGCCCGCTTGGCAGCCCCTTTCCACTCTGAGCTCTCCCGAGTCCCTTCCTCTGGCTGCAGGCTCTCTCAGTCCTCAAGCTCTGTGCCTGTGGGTCTTTTCCCTGGTCATGTCGCCTGGGCCTCCAGAATTCTGTTACTTTAGTGTTTGGAGCACCTTCAGTACCTGGCACAGTTTATTAGCATTTTTTTTTTCATCCACCTGACCCACGGATGTAAACTCTTATTTTCTGAACTTTACAAATAGTCTTTCCAAATGAATAAACGAACAAAAGGCAGAATCAGACCTATACATACAGAGAATAAACTGATGGTTGGCAGAGGGAGGAGCTGGGAGATGGGCAAAATGGGTGAAGGAGCAGGAGTTACAGGCTTCTAGTTACACAGAGAATACAGTCCATGGTATTATCATAATGCTGCTTGGTGACAGGTGGCAGGTACACTTGTGGTGAGCACAGCATAACCTACAGAGAAATTGAATCACTATGTTGTAGGCCTGAAACTAATGTGACATTGTGTCAACTGTAGCCATATAAGAACATTAAAACGAAAACCAGCAGTTTTTGTAAACAAATGGATTAAGGAAATATCTCTTTAGTGGTGACTTTGTGGAAGTGACTCAAGGATAAGGAGTCCTGACTGGGGACAGTGGCTGGACGCAGATACTGGGAAGAACAGAGGGGCTGCAGGTGGCAGGTGGGGTTGAGGTCCAGTTCCCTCTGTCTCTCCGAGGGCTAACCCTAGCCCTTACCAAGCCTCGGATTCCCCGTGCACAGAAAAGGGTCGTTTTCCCAACCCAGGCCCATGGCTGTGGTTCTGGGAGACTCGTGAGCTCTGGCGCGCTGGATTTTGAGAGGGGATGGGGTCTGCTGCCTGAAGGCAGTCTGGGTACCAGGGGCTGGCTCACGTGGGGTCGTTGGCCAAGTTCAGGAAGAGGCAGACATTCCCCATGGTACCGTTCTGCTCGAAGTCAGACTTGAAGAACCTGGCGGTCTCCATGTTCACCTGGACACACAGCAGGGAGGGCTGGAGCCTGAGGGCTGGGGCCCTGGCCCCTCCCATCTCTTCTCAGTAAAGCCTATTGACTGACTGGCTAACAGTCCCTGGGATGACCCAGCACCTGAGAAGGCAGGGGCTGGGTTTGCTGCCCAGTCCTGGGTGGGAGCCCATCAGGCCCCCAAAGAGAAGTTCACATTTCTTCAGGTTGAGCTCTGCTCAGTGCCATCCCGACCCCTCACCTAGGCAGCTGCTTCTCTGCTAACCCTTCCTTGGGCCCTCTGAGGGCCCCACAGTACCTGCTCCCTTGGCTTTCCCGTCCTCCAGGCCACCCTGGGCTCATCCTATATAGCTGCCGTGCCCTTTGGAATGCGTTGAGGGACACACCGTCCTATACTGAGTGCCACCCCACCCCCCGCCCTCCACTTCAGTCATGCTCTTCTTGCCTCTCCCACCAGATAGGCCTGGACTCTGACAGCTGCTCAAGGAGAAGGATGATGCCTCCCTCATCATATCAGACAGAGCCAGGATCCAAGAGAGACAAGGCTGCCTGCCCACAGCTTTCAGAACTTGCCAATCTGCCCAGCTCCTCTTACCCCCATGGCCGCAAAGACAATGGCAAAGTTGTCATCATGATAGTCCAGCACAGCCTTGGACTTCTTCACCAGCCCAGCCTGGCGGCAGATTTGGGCAGCAATCTGGGGTGGAGTGGATTGGAGGGAAGGGCATGAGAACCAGAGCCCAGGGCCCAGACCACTGAGCACCACTGAGGATGATGGGTAGAGTAATTTCCAGTCCATCCTCCTGCCAAGGCCTTTGTGGGAAGGATCCAAGGCCAGAAAGATGAAAGGGCTGCCCCAGATCCTACTGCTTTCCTCGCGGTGGAGGACACTTGGGGACACTAGGAGCTCTTATGCAGCCCTGAGTCCATGCGCTGCCAAAGGACAGCTGCCAGTCTGGACGGCAATGACCCCTGCGTGGCCGGTCCTTGCCTGTTGGACTCAGGAGGCCCTCCTCACTGGCTCACCAGCCCTGGCCTCTGCCCCGTCCCTCCCTCTTGGTCCTGTGTGCAGGACCTGCAGGCCTCACCTCGTTGTGGGGGAGCCCAGCTGCTGAGAAGATGGGGATCTTCTGACCACGGGCAATGCTGTTCATGACGTCGATGGGAGAGATGCCCGTCTGAATCATCTCCTCCGGGTAGATGCGGTCATGGGGATTGATGGGCTGGCCTGGCAGGCGGCGAGCGTGGATCCATGATCAAGAGTTCAGGTCCATCCCTGTCCTCCCCCAGCCCTGCCCCAGACTCCAAAGCAGCGCTATTTAACAGAATTTTCAGTGATGATGGAAATGTGCTCTAACTACACAACCCAGTACAGAAACCCGAGCCACGTGTGGCTGCTGAGCATGTGAAATGTGGTTTTGAAATGAAAGTACATTCCGTTTGAATTAATTTGTACTCAAACAGCCACGGTCCAGTGCTCCCTTGGACAGTGCTGCCTGGCACATTAGAAGCAGCAGGCAGGGGGCAGCTCCGGCTGAGGCCCCCGAGGCTGAGCAGGTGTTGTCCGGGGCTCAGAGGAACTGAGGGTGCCCTGGAGAGCTCCTGTCTGAGTGGATGTGTATTCTGTGCTCTGCCTCTGACTTCCCGAGTGGTTTGAGGCCAGCCACGACCTCTGTGGGCCCCTCTGGTCCTCAGAACTAACAGGGCTGGAGGACTCAGGATGGCCTCCCACAGGGACTGGCTGTATCTGCTCCGCAAGCCACCCAGGTGGCTCTGAGAGGCAGGGACAGGGAATTGGAAGGCAGGAGAGTGATGGTCTTGGGGCACCCTTGGAACTTTGCACCTGATGGTGGCACTGAGGAGCAGGAAGGAAGTCTGGTGCCAGCATTTCAGGCTCTGAGGCAGATTGGGGGGCAGAGAGAGGCTCTGCAATTCTCCTCATGTACCCAGTCTGCCTGGCGGTCTGACCGACCTGTGGCTGAGCCCTGGCTGATTGCCCCTGGGGCAGAAGTTCCAAGGGCAAGGGCAAGGCGGCAGAGGCCGGCTGGGGGTGGGGAGGGTGACTGGGTCCCGAAAGCTGTCCAGAGCCTCTCGCTGGCCACTCACCATTGATATCCAGGAAGTCCTCTGCCATGACCACTGGCCCCTTGTCAATGGGCTTGCCGGAACCATTGAAGACCCGACCTGAGGGTGAAGGTGGCTGTTGGGGGATGCTCAGGGCCAGCCCTGGGTCTCCCTCGCTCCTGTCCACCCTCCACACCACCACCGGCTCTCACCACCCCTCACATGTCCCTCTCTCCTCGGCCCTCAGTTACCCCCAGAGAGCTGGCTACAGTGACTGTCTCCCTGAGGAGCTTCCCTCCTCTCCTGGAAATCCTACAGGTGAGGCATTGGCCCATGAAATGACTCTAATGAAGGGTTTTAAGGCTGAAAAGAAGGCCAGGTATGGCAGATCTTGGGAGACAGTTAGGGGACGTGCATTCTGTTTCAGCCTAACCCCAAATAGATGACCACCTACTGTGCCCCTAGCTCATCGAACCAGTCTTCCTTGTTTACAGAACATCAGCTATACGTCCGGCTCTGAGCTGGAGCCAGGGGTCAAAGAGAGAAGACACAACTTCTGACCTCCAAGAACTCACAGCAGAGGCAGACAGGCAAAGAGGCAAGGACAAGGCAGTGTGCCAGGTGTGTGGTCGGGGAAGCTGGGCTGGTAGGACAGAGGAGCACCACCCGCTCACCCAGCATGTCTTCTGACACTGGAGTCCGTAGGATGTCCCCTGTGAATTCACAGGTGGTCTTCTGGGCATCGATCCCAGAGGTTCCTTCAAACACCTGTGGGACAAGAGGTTAGTTACTCTAATAAGGGTCTTGCTGGGGAGAATGGGGCCCTCCATTCTAGGCTCCCTTTGTCACAGCTCTGGGCAAGATGCTCTTGGGGAAAATAGGATGTTTCCTGCCATGAGGGTTTATAAGATAGGAACTTTGTGGGTTTGTTCATTCATCCAACCAGCCAACATCACGTTGACACCGCTTACCTGAACAATTGCCTTGGTCCCAGACACCTCAAGCACCTGTCCACTTCTCTGAGTCCCGTCAGGGAGGGTGAAGTTGACGATCTCAGCATACTGTGCAAACTGGCAGGAGGGGAGAGCAGCCAGAGCAACCATGAGACCAAAGGTGAAGTCCCTATTCCCCCACCATCCCTCCTGGACCCAGTCTCAAGCTTCTATGTCCCCTTTTGTGACCAGGCACTATTAGAAGTGAACTCGAGGGGCTGGAAGTGGGGTGTTTGAATTCTGTTTGGGACGCAGTGCACCTGGACAGGTAGGAGCACTGACTTTAGGGTTGGAAGACTTTAGGGTGAGAATTGAAGCTCTGACGCTTAGAAATTATGTGATGTTATGGAAATTACTTAATGTTTCTGAGTGTTACTTTCCCTGTCTTTCAAATGAGGATAATAAATAATACCTATTGTGTAGGGCTTCTGTGGTGAGAAAGTGACATATGTGAAGTCATTAGCTGGTGCCCACGACCTGTAACAGCTCAATACGACGTAGTAATTACAATGGCTGTTTAGGTCCCATGAACAGCACCGTTGTTTCTGCCTCCACAGACCACAGTGCCCTCCTGGGCTGTCAGGTGTCCCCCTGTACCAGTGCAGTCTTTCCCTAGCCATAGGGCTAGGACTGATTCACATGTCATCCTCATAGGTTTCAGGAATAAAAAGATATTCTCCAAAGAAGAATACAAATGACCAATAAGCATGTAAGAAACTCAGCATCATTCACCAGCAAAGAAATGCAGATCAAAACCACAAGAAGACACAACGTCACACTCATGAATAAGGCTGTAGTGAGAGGACAGATAATGACAAGTGTGGTTGAGGGTGGTGGAGAACTCAGCACCGTCACACACTACTGGTGGGAATGTAAAACGGTGTGGCCACTTTGGAAAACTCTGGCCCTTCCTCAAAGGGTTAAACATAGAGATAGCACATGACCCAGCAATTCCACTGCCAGGTATAAGCCCAAGAGAAATGAAAACATGTGACCACACAAAAACTTGTGTATGAATGTATATAAATGTTCCTATGCAAGTAGCATCAGTGTTCGTAACAGCCCTAAAGTGAAAACAACCCAAATGTGCACAGGTGATGAATGGATAAAGATGATGTATCTACACCATGGAATATTATCAGCCTTAAAAAGGAATGAAATACTGATCCATGCTACAAGGATGAACCTTAGAAACATGCTAAGTAGCGAAAGAAGCCAGACAGAACAGGTTACGCATTCTACGATTCCACTGATATGAAGTATCTGAAAGAGATCCATAAGACAGGAAGGTTAGAGGTTGCTGGGGTCTGGAAGGAGGGAGGCTTGAGGGTGACAACTAATAGGTACAGGGTTCTTTTGGAGGTGATGAAAGTGTTCTGGAATCAGATAGTGTAGTTGCACAGCTCTGTGTAAATACTAAAAACCACTGAACTGTGCTTTAACAGAATGAAGTTTATGATATGTGAATTATAATTCAATTTAAAAAAACCAACTAGGTGTCCCACTAGGACCACAGGTAGGTTGGGCAGGAGGAGGTCTGCCCCAAGGGAATCCCCCAGCTCTACGCTCTACACACGCTCCGGAACCAGGGCCTTTCCCCACATCAGAAGAGGCTACGAGCTGGACCGGGGAAGCTGGGCTGGGAGAGCAGACCCTCCCCACTGACAGTGGCTTCAGCTCTTGTCACCCCCAAGAGACCTAAGCCCTGCACCTGTGCCTTCTTCCAGGGGAGGTACTGGAGACGACGGGTAGCTACCTTCAGGCTCCCTCACCTTGCTTCCCGGGGGGATTGTTACTTCAGGGAATAAGTCATAATCAGAATCTAATAAAAATAAATGGTAAAAAGATGACATCCCTCCCCACAGTGTTCCTCAAATCCTAAGAAGTTAAAGTGCTCCTCTAAGTTACTCCTTGGACATTAGAAGAAATCAGAACTGAAATGATAAATGAAACGGAAAAGAATAAGAAAGGACCTCTCCTTGCACCATGACCTACATAGAATAAGTCGGCTCTACCGTGCTTTTTGACCATAATCAAAACAAGTTAGAAATCAAAAACAAGGGGTGCCTGAGTGCTTCATTTGGTTAAGCATCTGCCTTGGGCTAGGGTCATAATTCCCAGGGTCCTGGGATGGAGCCCCGCATCAAACACCCTGCTCAGTGGGGAGCCCATTTCTCCTTCTCCCTCTGCTGATCCCCCCTGTTTCCCTGCTTGTGCTCTGTTGATCTCTCTCTCAAATAAGTAAAATCTTTTTTTAAAAAAAAAAAGGAAATAAAAACATTCATATATTTGGCAATTTAAAAACCAATGTAGAAGAATGTAGAGTTAGAAAATATTTAGCACTAAATAATAATGAAAACTACATATCAACTTATATGTGATGCATTTACACTTTATCTTAATTTTTAAGGATCATTTATTTGGGAGGGAGAGCAAGCAAGGGGGATGGGGAGAGGGAGAGGGATAAAATCTCAAGCAGACTCCAGACCCCAACACAGGGCTGGATCTCTGAACCCTGAGATCATGACTTGAGCTGAAACCAAGATAGATCCTTAACCAACTGCACCATCCAGGTGCCCCACATTTAAGCTTTAAATGCTTATGTTAGAAAAAAATTAAGGAAGTTTAAGAGTATGCAACATGAAAAGTTAAAGAAAATGATGGCATTAAAACCCCCAGTAAAGTAGGGGAGGGGGATGGATGAAATATGTGATGAAGATTAAGGAGTGAGCCTGTCATGATGAGCCCCAGGTGACACATGGAAGTGTTGAATCACTATATTGTACATCTGAAGTAATGTTACACTGTATGTTAACTGGATTTAAAAGAAAAACTTATTAAAAAAAAAATAAAGTAGAAGAAATAATAAAGGGCAGAAATCATGAACACAGAGAAAATATAACAAAGATGATTAAAAGCCAAATAGGTTCTTTGAAAAGCCGAATAAAATAGACTGATAAAATAAACATTAAGAAAAGAACAAAGAGGGGATCCCTGGGTGGCGCAGCGGTTTGGCGCCTGCCTTTGGCCCAGGGCGCGATCCTGGGGATCCGGGATCGAATCCCACATCGGGCTCCCGGTGCATGGAGCCTGTTTCTCCCTCTGCCTGTGTCTCTGCCTCTCTCTCTCTCTCTCTCTGTGACTATCATAAATAAATAAAAAAAAAAGAAAAGAACAAAGACATAAATAATTATTAGGGTAAAATAGTCAAAACTATATTAATAGTACTGTGATACTATACTAATATACTAATAGTACTAATAACTATACAAAAGCTATACTAACAATATTAAAAAGTAATAGAAAGGAATTATGAGCAACTGTATGCAATATAGTTCAGACCTTAGGTGAAATGACTAAAGTTCTAGAAGAAAACAACTCAAAACTGATTAAAAACCAAATAGAAAGCTGGAATAGGGGATCCCTGGGTGGCGCAGTGGTTTGGCGCCTGCCTTTGGCCTGGGGCGTGATCCTGGAGACCCGGGATCGAGTCCCATGTCGGGCTCCCTGCATGGAGCCTGCTTCTCCCTCTGCCTGTGTCTCTGCCTCTCTCTCTCTCTCTCTGTGTGTGTGACTATCATGAATAAATAAATAAATAAATAAAAATAAAAAAAAAAGAAAGCTGGAGGAGTCCTACAATCTTTAAGATGGTACATATAGTGTAAAATCTTTCCACAAAGAAAACATCAGTCCCAGATAGTTTTACAAGTTCTGACAAAGAGCAAATAATTTGAAACTTTCTTGAGCTCTTCAAAAGACTAATGGAAAAGGAATGGTCTTGAACTGATTTTATGAGGCAAGGAATACCTTGATACAAAATAAGATAATTAAGGGAAAATTATAGGCAATCCCACTTATGAATATAGATGCAAAAGTTCTACAGGAAAAAAAAAAGTTCTACATGAGATACTAACAAACCAAAATCAGCAAAGTATTAAAAAGATCAAATTACAAACCAAATGATAAAAGAAAACATGAGGGGGCATCTGGGTGGCTCAGTGGTTGAGTGTCTGCTCAGGTTGTACGGGATCCCAGTGGGGAGGGAGCTTGCTTCTCCCTCTGCCTGTATCTCTGCCTCTCTATGTCTCTCATGAATAAATAAATAAAATCTTTTAAAAAAAGAAAAAATAAAGACAAAACAAATACACACAAATACAAATTAAAAAGGCCAAGTTGGAATTATTCCAGGAATTTCAGTTAATCTAATATTAGAAATCTGATAATGTACTTTACCTTATTAATGGATTATAGGATTAAAAAAACCTGTGATCATCTGAAAACATTCCAGAAAAAGTAAGAACAAAACCCCAAAACTATCCCCGATTAAAAACAAAAACTTTGAGATTAAAGAATCATGATATCCATAATCATAAAAAACAAAACTACCCTTTGAAAACAGAGAATAAAAGGGAAATTCCTTAACTCCAAAAAGCAGTCTCACAAAGTACAGAAAACATCATACTGATATAACGTATAAAACAGTCCCTTTAAAATTAGGAACAAAACAAGGCCTGCTATCCATCATTCTATTCAGCATTACATTGGAAGAACCAGCCAATGTAATATGATGAACAGAAAAGAAACACTAGGAGGACATGAAATTATAAAAAAGAAAGCCTCCTAAACCCCAAATATAGTAAAGATGGAACTCTCTCAAAAAAAGTAGATCAATTTCGCTTATAAATATAGATGCAGAAATTATAATCTGGGGATCCCTGGGTGGCGCAGCGGTTTGGCGCCTGCCTTTGGCCCAGGGCGCGATCCTGGAGACCCGGGATCGAATCCCACATCGGGCTCCCAGTGCATGGAGCCTGCTTCTCCCTCTGCCTATGTCTCTGCCTCTCTCTCTCTCTGTGTGTGACTATCCTAAATAAAAAAATAATAATGAAAAAAATTAAAAAAAATAAAAAAAAAGAAATTATAATCTGTTAGACGGTCAAATCAAACAGTGTACCAAATAAACAGGCATGACTAAACAGGGTTCATTAAAAGAACATAAGCCTAGATCAATCAACCTCTGGAAATTTGTGAACATTTGACAATATAATTTGTAATAATAGGGAATTTTTTTTGTAAAC